TCTGTTGTCCACCGACATCGACATCGGTTATGCGAGAGCCTACGGAGCGTGGCAAAGTGGATGAACCTGCAAAATGTGAATGAGGTGTGATGAGATTGCGATGGCGAAGTATGTACGTATGTATGTATTGTATGTATATATGCATGTATATGTGCATATGTATGTATGTATGTATGTAAATATATGTATGAAGGCATGAACAGGCGTTTGACAGTATTTTTTGTGTTGTTTTTTGTTTTTGGATTGCGGTGGAATGGTTGAGGGGTGGCAGCAATAAGTGGTAAGTGGAAGCGGTGGGTCAGTGAGTGATAAGTATACGCATGTATGTGTGTGTATTTGTGTGCGCGCATAAGTGTCCAAGGGTTTTATTGGATTTTAGACGGATATTGGTTTGGTAGAATAAAGTGGTATGAAAGTAGAAAAGTAAATAAAAGATAGGCGATAATAGTGTTATGTATGTATGTAGGCAGAGCGTTGATGTTCGGTGTATGTATGTGTATATATGTGTGTGTTGCATACTACATAACTACTTTATATACGTATATAACTGTATTTCCAGCCACGACATTGTAATTGACAAAATCTGTGTAAATGTCAACATGAGTGTGTGTGTGTGTGTGTACATTATATTCATTTCCTCTGCACAAAGCTTTGGAAATCACAGTAATCTTTTTTAGCCGATTTCCGGTAGCGCCCCGTTAGTTATGTTTTAAATGACCCACAATTCAATTACTTATGCTGTGTAATAACTCAAAATCAAGTTTATGTTTCTTTCTTTGAAAATTCAGTAATTCAATGTTTCGAGAAGAATAAAAAAAAACAAATTTGCTTTGCTCAGTTTAATTGAAAATAATAAAATTGTATATGTAGTGGTAAAAGCTTTAAAAAAAACTGTGAACGTGTGAAAAACTAAGAATCGGGATTACAAATGTAAAATGTTTCACATAAAACTAATAAAATATTAAACAAATTTAAATTAAAATATTAAAAATATGTACAATTTTAAAACACCTTAACAAAAAACAAAAAAGTATTGCATATATCTATATAAAAAATACATATATTTGTATATAAAGTTTGGTCAAAAAAACGAATATTTGTTTTCTCTTCTCTTAGATAACTCTAAGAAAGCATCTCTAAGTACGTGCTCTTAATTGTAACGAGAAGGTCTTGTTCTTCTAATTTAAAGTTTTCTATATTTTTCCTATTAACAGATTGAAAAATTCATATCTCACTTCCAACTACTTGGAAAAATATCTCTTTTCAAAGATTTTGTAGGAAACTGAATGCTCTACAAAAAAGAACTCCTATGATTTTTTCGTAAATCTAACCGTTTAAAAGATATTAACGGTTAAAGTTTGATTATTTTAAGGTAATTTTTTTTTACTTATGAATTTTTTAACTGAGTGGAAAAAATTATTTTAAATTGCAAAGATCATGGTCTGGTAGGAAGTTTGCTGCTCTACAAATTGCTGTCTTATAATTTTTCGCTTAAGTTAAGTGTTTACGAGATATTCACCGTTAAAAATCAATGAAAAAATGTCCAATAATTATGATTTTTAAATAAGACTTGAATTTTCTTCTTCTGATAAACAAAAAAGCATAGACAACTGTTAGACAGAAGGAGGACCTTAGCGTTAGAATTAAGAGCTCATGCATGAAGAGACTTTCTTAAGTGTCTAAGAACTTATTCTTCAGAGTACCATGCGAAAAAAATATTCTGTTTTTTGACCCAATTAAATGTATTAAAAATCTATTAATATTATATTATAACAAATTTAAACTTCAGTATTTGATAGCATTTTCATAAGTCTTTTATATGAAATTCTTTAAACGAAATTGAAAAATTTCATATTATTTAAAAAAAAGTTTTTTTTTCTAATTTTGAATAATTTAATTTTTTTGTTTTTTGATAAAATTATTTTATTTGCAACCAAAAAAAAAATTTTTAAACAAACTTGTATAAGAAACACATAAATTAAGAAATATATATATATATTTTTTTTGGTTTAAAAAATATATATTGCAAATATAAATTATAATATAATTTAATTATAATTTTTGATAATATATTTTTTTATAAATCCTAAAATATAATTTATAATATAGTTTTTTTTTCAAACGCAAAAAAAAAGAAATAATTTGTTAAAATTATTTAAACACCAATGCCATATAATAAATATTAAATGGTATTGAAAAAATATTAACATGTCCCAATTTTTTTGATCGAAATATATTAATTTTACTTGTATGTCGTGATCAGGAAATATTAAAAAAAAAAAAAAATTAAATAAAAAGTTAATTATTAAAATTAAAAAATGTTTATTATGATAAATTATAATTTTTTGAGAGAATAAACAATTATTTTTAAATAAAATAATAATATAATAAATAAAATAAAATTATTAATTAACTAAAAAATCTTATTTTTGACATTAAAAAAAATTGTCGGCTTATGTAAAATATAATAAATTTGACCATATAGGTATTTCATTAAATATAAATTACACTATAACCAGAAGATAAGAGGCAAAGTTATAACATCACAAAATATATATTTTATATTAAAAAAAATATTTTGAGTAACACATTTTGACTTAACTGCAAAATTATAATAAAAATAAAAAAACGTTTACAAATAACTCCAGAGTATTTGGTTTTGATCGCTCAAATTGTACGGCAATCATAAGCTATACAATTTCTTTGGAGATTGTAGCGCTGTCTCGATGATATGTCGTCAAATAAACAAGTTCTCCATTGTGGTTGGATATCGGCGATTCCCGACAAATGAGCAGTTTTTGGTGAGAAAAGTACGTGGGGAAAATTAAAGATCGATATCTCAAACACTGTGGGACTAGCTCGCGTATATACTTGTATGGACAGACGGACATGGCTTTATAGACTCGGCTCATCATTTTGATCATTTATATATACATTTTATGGGGTCTCCGACGCTTCCTTCTGAGTGTTACAAATTTCGTGGCGTTCAGAAGTTTTAATAATATAACACCTTATGCTCATTATAAAACAACTACATACTGCAATAGAGAGATAGCAGAAGATCTCAATATCTTTAATGGATCGACTCAATACATTTTGGTTTATGTTTTAGGTATGATGCGCTTCAATGCTAGAATCATACCCAAATACCCGAATCGTTTGCAAAAATTACCTGAAGTAGTGGTCGAAAAAAAAGTAGCTTAGGACCGGACATTCACTCTTCAGAATTGGTAACGAGACGTGGGTTTATGAGTATGACGTCGAAATTGTCCAACAATCTATCGAATGGGTCTCCAAAAATGAGATGAAACCGAAAAAACCGAAATTCGATGAAGGCACCGAAAGTCATCTCAGCCCAGGATTATAAAAAGTGTATGGAATATTTGATAGGTTGGCTCAGAAATTTTATTAGTAGGCCATACCAAAAAATATTATTCAGATACGAAAGAAATTTATTTTCTCTTTTTGTCAGTCTGCGGCGAATTTGGCTCGATATGGTATGTATCCAAATTATTTTTGAGCTGCATCTTGCAGGATTATAAAAACAAGCATAATAATGAATTTAAAAAAATGAAATGAAGTTCATAATTCTTTAAAAATATATAGATTGTAACTTTGTGGGTCATTTAAATGTCGCTAGATATATATATATATTTTTTTGTGCTATATATTTATCTGTAAGTATGTCTGTGGCTGCATGCAAATCATAGTTTTATATAAAATTTCTCTAGACATATTTAAAATTCCGAAATTTTTGTTCTATTTTTTACTTTTTGTTTTTGGTTCAACTCTAAAGGGTACTGAGTTAGTTAATTGATTAGTTGATTAGCTAAAGTAAGTAGAGTAGAGTGGTGGTAGTTTAGTGGTAGTGGGGTAGTTGTGGATCCTCACCTCGTACACGTGGATCGGTCCGTAGGCGTGCGTATTGTTCGGCCGACATACAGGTGCATTGCGGTTCGCTGCGTACGCGCGACGGCGATGCCGGTGTACTCAACGGCTTTCGTTTGGCCTTGATCTTTCCCTTGCCCGGCGGGTCCAATTTCAGCGAGTAACTCGACGAGGCCTTTCGTGAAAATTTGAAAGAAGGCGACTGTAAAACGTCGCACTATCATTAGGTTAGTTGGTTGGGAGTTACAAGGTTCTGTGTGTGCGGTTTGTTATTTTCGATTTTTCTTCTTTTTTTTTTCTTTTGTCTTTTCATTTACTGTTTTTATGTTTCTTTTTAAAATTTATTTTATATTTAATTTAAATTTAATTTTATCAATGCTTTCAAAATTTTTGTTGCTTTAAATTTATTTACGATTGTAATGCGAGGTACACTTAGTGTTGCCACATAGTTTCGATTAAAAAAAAAAAAATGACAAAGCTTTACTTAAATTTTGCGGCCTCTGTAATCGGTAAAGTCTATTTATTTGTGTGTGTTAGTGTGTTCGCTGGATTTGGTTTGAGCGCATTCACAACCGTTTGCGGCTGCTCAAATATGCATCCTTCCTTGTGCTTATTTCAAAAATATTCTCACATTAAAATACAAATCAAAATTACTTCGAAGTTAGGAAAACAAATGGAATATCTTCACAAAATCACGACGTAACACACAATTTTTTTACGCTTTTGCATTGCAATTGAAAGAGTATAAAAACACAGTGAGTGAGAGAGAGAGCAAATATTCGTACATAGAGCGACAGAGTGGGTTATAGTTTGCGAGAAAGAGAGAGAGCGAAAACGAGCGAGACTTAGAGTTTAGTAAACAAAGTGAAAAGTGATTTAATCTATTTTTTCTATTATTTTCGAAAAGGTGTGTGTGTACCAAGCATTCATAAAAGGAGTACAAATGCAATTGCATGGAGCAATATTTTATGAATAATCTGGTTTTTGTTGTTTGTAAGTTTGTTGTTTTGTTTTGCTTGTAGTTTCAAACTTTTTTCATATTCATAGTCATTTCTTTGAGTAGCCGAAGCGTCTAAGATTTGAGTTGGAAATATTAGTACACATTTAAGTGTGCATTAGTATATAGATGTGTGTAGGTGTGCCAGAGCTTTAAGAATCCGCTGTGTTGCGTGTGTTATTATAACAGTAAATATATATGTGTGTATTTATATATATGTGTGTGTGTGTAAATTTATTGCATTTGTGAGTGTTTTACTTCTTTTTCAATGTTACTACTAATAATTTTACAAGTAACTGATAATCAAATGATCAAAAATGACCCGGACTGCTCCATACAAACGACGCGGAAACCTAATCTATAATTTTTGTTACTCGTTTCGACAAATCTCTTTTAATCATGTTAAGTTTAAACTCCATATGTCTGCAGCTATTTATTTATGACGCAAAAAGTGTGTCCGGCGATATTTAATATGGTAAAAAATTAAAAAAAAACAACGAGTTTCATTGAAATTCTGTGTTTTATTGTTAAAATTACGGAACTTGAAAATCTGCGTGTTGGCATCACAGAGCTAGCAGGGGATCTCAACATTTATCATGAACCTACTCAAAAACTTTTGTTTAATTTTTTTTTGCAATCTTTTGCAAAAGCGACGTCGAGTAGTCGCAATCGAGCTGCTGGACAATGGAGCTGAGAACCTTACGTTCATCAAGCGCTTCAAAACTGATGACGAAACTTGGGTTTATGAATACGACGTCGAAACTGTCCCACAATCTAGCGAATGGCGCTCCAAAAATGTATCAAAACAGAAGAAAATCAAAATTCGCTGAAGGCATTGAAGGCTATCCCGTACGAGGCTTATAACAAGTATATAGAAAATAGGATTAAGTTGTCATACTTGGGTCAGGATACTATATTGTAAGTGATAATAAAGATTTGTATTAAAATATTATAAAGTGTAATTTTTTTGCAGTCCGATTCAAATTTGATCAGATGGTAGGTAATATATCAGTATTTACTACCAAATGACGCCTATAAATATGCTTCTTAATTACATATATTATTGAAACTATATTAAAAATAATTTTTCCACTGTTTTAGTCATCGAACATTTTCAAAATTAAGTTGCTAAGAATCCTTCAAGGATAATAGTAAGGGTGGCGCAGCTATACTAGTTTCTTAGACCTTGCCTATATTTAATATGTTCTACTTTTTTGCTAGCTATTGTTTTTCTAATCAAAAATAAATTCGTAAATGTGCATTTCATAGTTGTAATTTTCGTGAAATTTCTTTCGAATTAATAATCGAGAGAGAAAAATAGTTTGAAATGTTGTAGTAGGTAGTACAGTATACATATACTCGTAATTTATTACATTTAGTGCAATTTGTGACGGCTAAATTATTTTTTTGACTAACTACTTACTTAAATTTTATATACATTTTATTTGAAGAAACTTTTTTTGCAGATAAACGCATCTTGTAGTTGAAACCCGTACTAGATAAACAAAGTTGAACTACATATATGTATAGTATGTGCGTTTGTATATACGTAAGATAGAAACCCGAATAGATAGTCAGATAAGATAAGCGACAGACTATTTTACAAAAAATATTTTTTTATATTAAATTTTAATTTTTAGAACAATTTAATTTTGTGAACTATGTATTTTTTCTCAGTTGTTTTTTTTTAATTTTAATTTATTAAACTAGTTTACTTTATTATATATATTATATATATGTTTATTATATTATAAACTTTTTATTCCGAACCTAAACTCTGCACTGCACTACATTTTTATAACTCACTTAATATGAACCCTTACTTGTTAACAATTTATTCAAAAGCTTGTGAAATCATTGCTGTTTTCGTTTTTGGTTTTCTCTTTGAATTAATTGCATTGTTTTATAATTTAGTTAATATTAAAAAGTCACTTGACTAACCCAATCACGTTGATATAACTATTTTCTTAAATTTTTTTCTGTTGCCTACTTTCGGGCTGTAATGTGAATTATAATAATGCCTTTAAATTAAGTACTTTTATATATATTATTACTACAACGATATTTCTAAGTATACCTCATAATTTATTGCATTTTTAAATATGAAATAGACAGTTAACTGATATCTCATATTTATTAATTTTAATCTTTGCTGTTGCCTACATTTGCGCTGAAATTTTCCCCTTTCCGTTATATTCGCAATTCAAAAATCAATTATACTGATTATTTTGCTGTTGCCTACATTTGCGCTGAAACTTTCCCCTTTCCGTTATATTCACAATTCAAAAAATCTATTTTACTGCTTAATTGAGATTATTTGGAATATCTACTTAATTCGATTTCTTAGAAAATTTTTTAATTATCAGGTAAAAATAGATTAATCCTTTTTGATATCTGGAATGCTTCATCATTCAATAATATTTTATCTTTATACTAGGAAAATGAGGATAAGGGTCTTGGAAAACGATGACGCTAAAGAGCTTTCAAATAATAGAATTTGTTACGGACACATGGGAAGTCAAATTGGCGGTCAAACCGTTAAATTGTTAGGCATATTCCTCAATAACAAATAATGCAGAATATGGAATTGACGTTTGTCAAAAGAAAACATATGGTTCTCATTTAAAACATACGAACTCTTCAGGATGCATTAATAGGATGCTTGCTATAAAATTTTTATGAGAACAACATACATTTAAAAAGTATGCTAAAACACAATGTTTTAACTTAAGTACAGCTCTAATAACGCGAAGGAATTTTCAAAATGGACCAAGTGAGGAAGCCGTTACTCTTGTTACTGCAGTCATTTAATAGAATTTTTTCTTAAATATGGAAATTTAATCTACACTTGTCTTATAAGCAACATAAGCATTGAAAAACGCAAGCAATTATTCATGTCATAGCAAACACACAACATCAGACCCAGTTTTAAATACCCTTTTCACATAACCTACCTATGTATATTTCTAAGGAAGCACCTTTTTCTCTTCAGTAACTTTATAAGTTATTGTTTACTCTTGTTTGTTAATTCAGAAAATATTTATATAGTATATCTATCAACCACCCATGTGTGACTATATTTATTTTTGGAAGCTTATTTTTTTGATGTTACCTTAGCTATACACTAACTAAATATATAGAATTTCACTTTATACTTTAAACAATATTTAACATTTATCTTAACCTCAACTAACCGCTTATGAAAATATATTTTATATGTATAATATGTATATATTTTATGATCTGAATATTTTGAATTTGGAAATTTTCTGTGATTTTTGATCTAAAAATAAATAGTTACGTTTTTAAATTTCTTTTACAAAAATATATGTTTGCTCTTCTATTTCATGTTATGTTAACTTTGCTTTCATTCCTGAATATTTCGGAGTTACTCTCTTATTTTCCTAACTCATGATTTTTTCTAGCTTTACTTTAGAAAACTCACTCCTTTCATTTTAAATTACCTTATGTTTGTATGTATTATGTAAATATTGATACGCATGACTACTTTTATATATATATACGTATGTATATATATGTATGTCGATGTGTGATGTAAATTTTTGTAAGTAGTAACTGTTACCCTAATCTATACAAGTATGCTGAATTTCATAGAGAAATATATTCCAGAAAATACTGAAATTTATACTAACAGTGCCGGGTTAACCACAGGGGAACAATAGTTATTATAATTATAATTATTATCGCCTAGTCGTTAATATATATTTATTCGTGAGAAAGACGCCTTTGGTAACATATATAGCACCAACAAGTTTTGAAAACTGTATTTATTTTCAAAATTAATTCCCGAGGATGACATAAGTTTATTGATCTAATGTGAACTAAATTTGTTTCAGGAGAAAGCAGAATATATGTATCTCAAACATCTCCAAAGATACTCCAGAAGAGAGAAACTCTTAAAAGTCCTCAAAAGCAAGTGTGTGTTTATTTTTCTATTTTCGTGTTTTCGTAAAAGTGTGATTCTAAAAGTATAAAATTCAATGACTAAAAAGGGAGGTGCCTAAGTCGAGGCATCCAATTCAGAAATACGTCAAAATATACAAGATATCTGATATTTATGGGTTAAAGAAATCGTTTCCAATTCAATCTGAGCAAGAATTGACTTAGTGTCATTGATAACCAAAGTCAAACGTTATTCCCGTACTTTACTTGCAAACACAGACTCAGGATATTGGTATTATGACCCGTGGAGAATACATAGATTTCATATAATTTTACGAAATCTTTAAGAAGTTTAACTTTTAGGGAATTTTTAAGGATTTCTAAAAAACAAGATAGTTTTTTAACACAAAATTACCGAAACTAAAATCGTCTTTTGTTTAGATAGTTTCGAAAGCCAAGTTCCAACCCACATAATATACCCACAAAAATATTTGAAATGTTACAGTACTGAATAGACTAAATCGGAAACAAAAGCCTTTGAGAGCAACTTCCAACCAAGCTTTTCAGGAATAATATAACGTAGAACTTTAGTCTGGTTCTGTCGAATTGAAACGTTTTCGGGTCAAACCTAGTGATATTTGACTTCTTTAGTTATCTGCGAGTAGAGTATCTCTTATTGGTTTAAAGACGCAATGCATTCAATGGCTTTAAAAGACGAGTTTTGTGGATCTACTAGGAACATTGAGAGGGTTATCGTTGATGCAGGCGACTTGTTCACAGATTTTAGTAATATTCAGCTATGATTTGTACTCAGTTAACACCAGTAATGCTCATTGTATTGTAACTAACGACTGGGGATGCGATTTCGATCTCAGCAAATAGTAAAACAATATTCAATATTGAATTTATACCTAAAGCTTTTTTAGAACGTACAAGTGTTTAAATCCTGGTGGATACTGCAAAAACTGGTATTCCAGAAAAAAAAACTTGAAAGCTTCAAATCTCGTTTAAAACTTAAAAAGTGTGATTCCAGGAAAAAACTAGGAAATTTTTGTGGTAAATGATAGTACATAGCTCTCGGCAGAAAAAACGAAGTACTTCTATTAATTTTTATTTTTAAATCCTGCTGGATACTGGAAAAAGTGGTATTCCATAAAAAAGCTTTGAAGCTTGCACACGATGGTAACTACTCGTAGTTTTCGGTAGAAAACACGAATTACGTTTACTTTTTTTCAAATTTCGGTGGATACTGATAAAACTAATAATACAAAAAAAAACTTAGAAGCTTTCATAGGATTGTAAGTGGTTTTCGTTGAAGAAAACAAAATGATTTTACGCGGCTCATCCGGCACTGCAGAGACCTACTTAAATACCCACATGTTTGACATGAAAAAATACTTATTTTCTGTTTAACTGTAATTGTTGTTATTGTGTTGGTGTTGAAATTGCTGTTTGGTGTTTTGTTGATTTGATTTATTGTAATAAAAGCTTCGAACTCTAAGCTATTAGCTTTTTAATTTTTAAAGCATGTTATAATTATTTATTTATTTCGTTCATTTATTTAAACATATATTATATATTAACTTTTTAATTTGCCATTTAGTTAGTTGTTTTTGTTATTATGTAATATTATATTTAACAAAACCGCCAGTGCTTTTTGATTGCTGGTTTGTATTCAAAAAAACGGAAGGGAATTATTATGAGTAGAATAGGTGTGTGTGTGACAACACACATTGAGCGAATCGAGCGACTGACTGGCAGCAACAGCCGAACCTCAGGGCTCGTCATCGGGCATAGGATGTATGGGATAGGAGAGGGTATTGTAGTAAAGGATGCGTGCGATTGTTTTAAATCGTTTTGCATTTTTCTTTTGCATTTCATTGCACAATGCATAACAGCGACGGCGGAAGGGATTTTAATATAAAAATAATTGATTTTTATGCAAGAAATTGCAAAAATTAGGTTTGCAATTAATTTTTAATTTTTGTAATTTTTAAACATTTTTTTAAATAATTTTTATTTTTTATTTTTTTTATAATTTATAAAATTTTTCAAAAATTTAAACAAAAAAAATTTTTTTAGTTTTTTGGATTTTGTAAGTTTACCGACGCGTTACCGTAAAATGCAAACGATTGTTGAAAAGTGTTAAGTTATATAATAGATACGTGAGTAATATATATAAATATATAAATAAAATTATATATATATATATATATATATATATTTATTTATTTATTTAGTACATTTATATATTAAAATTTATATACATTATAAATTAATCAAAATTGTTTTTTAGGAACAAATAGATATATTAGTAGCAAAAAGGTTTATTTTCATATATATATAATATATATAGAGCGCAAGAACGAGTAAGGTGAGTGAACGAGTTGGGGCGAGAGCGAGTGAGTGAGCGTGATTGTGAGACGAGTGAAACGAATTTTGGGTAAAAAATGTTTAGTGAATTTTTTTTAGCGTAAAGTAAATGAATATGAATGAGGATTTAAATTTTTTTGGTTTTAGTTCATATCGATGTACGAAAATGATGAAAGGAGAAGAGAAAAAAGAATGAAAGAATACAATATAAATATAAATAATTTAGTGTTGATTCATTTTCGAAAAAATTTTTATTTACAAAGAACAAAACAGGCTGTTATTTACATATAATATAATACAATCATATTTTATATTATTAATCGGCTTCAACATAACGTGAGTGAAGGTGTGAGAAGTTATTATTGGCAGCAATTAATATACATCATATTTTTCAATAATGGTGTAAACACATACAAAATACGAAAGACTAAAATACAAATGTGACAATGAGAAATTATTGACGATTAGAAAAAAGAAGAGAACACTAAGGGAATGGGTACAATACATTGAAGTCGGAGCTGAATGTACGAAAAAGGAGGCGCAAAGAGACAATGGAGCGCTACTGAGAGGCAACGATTGAGTGCAATTTAGAATATAGTGCGTTAGAGGGCGGGGTGGTTGCCATATTTTAAGATATATGTACAATTATTTTATATTTTGATTACGGAAATACGTTTTATATGAATTGGGGAAATACTGAATACATGAAAAAAATTATATTCGAAAGTTGCGAAAATTAGAAAAAAAAAAAATTTAATTTTTAAAATTTTAATATTCCAAAATTTGTTTACATGTATTAGGGAGGTACTGATTGATTACACAAGTAATGTATATTCGAAAATTTTTGAAGTTCAGAATTTTTCATATGTATTAGGCAGGTACTGAAAACTCCAAAAAATTTGTGAAGTGAATACTCGACTAAAAATTTTATACGAAAATTTTGAATTTTAGCATTTTAAGGCTTTTTTTAACAATTAAAAATTAGTTTTTTGATTAACAAAAATCTAACCAAACTAGAAGAAAAAAATAGGCTACACTCTTTAAAATATATATTGGTTTTTAGTGGACCTTCATTACAACGAAAATTTTAACCCTAAGACCGGACGCTTTTGAACACATCGAAAAAGTGCTTTCTAGGTAATGTTTAAATGGGTGTATGAAACAGTTGGATATCAAGTAATTAACATGCCAGATTACTAGTTAGTACAACAAAGGAACTGAAAAGAGATGATATTTGAAAATTAAGCACAAAGAAAGATAACAGTATTTTACCAATGTGTATACTAAACCGCAATGACACAGTTCCTTTTCTAAGTAGGTTGAAAAGGTTGAGTAATAGAATATTTTCGCAGGTGAAAAAGAAATCAGGAATGATTACCAAAAACAAAATACGATTACACATAAAAGGAAAATTCACAACAAAAGTGGAGTCAAAGCGAAAGTTAAGTTACATGGAGTTATACTAACGTATTTCTTTACAATGTAAGATACCTGAAAATGTTGAAAATAAAAGAAAAAATACACATATAATGATTAATCAAGTAATGATTAAGCGTTGATTAATTAGTTATGCATATATAAGTAACATGATCTTTAATAGCGTTCAATTTTTTTGGCGTATTAAAAATCAAGCGATTTTAGTGAGGCAAATATTTAAATGAGTTAGGCAACAGCTGTGGATTATTACCTCGGTTTGAGAAGAATTATATTGAAACGACTTAAATTGTAGTCAAAACTAGTCAAGCAATTGCAAATAGAGCTTGTTTCTGTGCAAAACTTGAGAAGGGATAGAATATTTTCATAGAGTACTTCATCTACAAGGAACTTAACCTCAATTTATTCTATATACCGAGAAATTTAGTATCTCTCAAAAATAACTGTTCGAACAGATCCTCAAATTTTCATTCTATATACCAAAAAAATCTCTGAAGAAGAACGGTAAGTATATGAGAGTGACGTAAAGATATAAGTAAAGTAAGAATACTTGAAGTCAAAATGACTTCACGACAAGTTTGCTTCAAATTTTATGTTTCCAATAGAATCTAGGCTATGGAATCGTTGAAAATATTGCAGAAGTGTTTTAAGGAAATAACTTAATCACAAGCACAAGCTTTGGATGGCACAAAGCATTTAGTGGAGGTCGTGAAGTCATCGAAAACTTGCCTCTTGCGAGTCTTCTATTCACCTCTGTAAATGTAGATAACATCGAAAAGGTTAAATAATGTAAAGAGAAAGGAAGCTTGAAAATCGACGTGTTAGCATCAGAGATACAGCAAAGGATGTCGACATTGCTTATAGATCGACTCAACACATTTTGGTTAATATTTTTTGGCATAAAGCGTGTCAATGCTAAGACCGGCATCTTTTGCAAATTAGACGCCGAGAGTAGTCGATTTATGAATATGGCGTCACACCTGTCTAATAATCTAGCGAATGGCGCTCAGGAAATGAGCCCAAACCGAAAAAAATTCGCTGAAGGCACTGAAGATCATTCCAACCGATGCTTATAACAAGCGTATGGAAATTTGGATTAGAACTGGGCATACTAAAATTGGCTCAGGAGCCTATTTGAAATGGGATAATAAAGATTAGTACGGGTCAAATTTGATCAGTTGGTATCTCACCAGAGATGTAATAATTTTTTCATACCTAGAGGTTATGAAAACGCAGAAACTCACATCTATGCGGTTGAGTTGTGCAAGATCTTTCTTAAAATCTTTAAGAACCGATTTTTTTTATACAGATTAAGAATTATTTAAAAAAAAATAAATAATTTCAATAGAGTTTTTTAAGAAGAACTTAACGAAATTGAGTAAAGAATCGAAATTGAGCTACATTAAGTTGAAATTAATTTAAAATCTTAATCCAAAGCATCTTAAGTAACGTAGAGAGGGACAATCAACATAACCTAACATAACTAACCCACAAATTAATCTCCGTCTATTATTATTTGCCATCAATTAATTTGTACTTGCACATAACTATCTTAACATCGATGAACTCCACAGTATTACTAATTACAATGCAGAAAGCAGCGTTAATGAATCTATAGTTATATGAACATATTGAAAATGTTGCAATGCTAAATTAAATCGATGAGTGAGGAATGCATGAAAGGATACGACAATATAGTACATAGCTACGGCATGAAATACATATGATTTAAGTTAGTACTTAAGCAAATAAACATATACATATATACGCATGTAAATATGTACTTCGTATATATAATATATATGTTTCGAATGTATATATATATATACTTCAAAGAAATGACAATGATTCAATGAACAACTCAAGATTACGGTTAACAACCACTTAGCCATTATAGATATTATGATAGGATTATATAAGTTCATATATTTGTTAAATTAATTAAAATTCAACTAATCTCTTCAATTTCTATTCAATGCTGTTTGATTTAAGAAAAACAAAATTTTTTATAATCTTCCAATTCACTCAATCACGTCTCGATTAATAAAATCTCAATCACAATTGATTAAACATAACTGATTTTGCATTGATTTTGTTAATTTATTTTTTAGTATTTTTTTTTTAATTTTGCTTTAGCTTTTAATCTACTTTTGGATTTAATTTTTTTAAGTTTTTTTTTTGGTTTTTGGTTTTTCGATTTTGCACTGAACCTTGTCGGACACACGTAAAAGCAAAGCAAACATCATCAGCATTTCGGACTGTTGCTGCCGTCGCCAAGTTGCATAAGCAGTGATACGCATATGTAAAATATATGTACAGTCGGTCGAAAAATAATGGTACGAGTGAAGTTTTTAAATGAAAAAAAATTTTTTTTTTTTTTGTTATTTGAACTTGTTCCAAAATTATAATAAATAGCTTGACATGTAAAAGATATTGAAATAAATTATTTCACGTAGTACCAAAAACTCGAGTTAAGTTTTTGAGTTCATAGAAAAAAAGTTAACATAGAATATTAAGGAAATTAGCTCCGAAACTAATACAACTGTTTTTTTACAAACTCCATTTTTGTGTAGTGTTCAACCTTGAACATTAGTATGAGCTTTTAACTCGAGTTTAAGGCCTTACCTTTATAGAAAACTAACAAACAACAATGATGTTATCACTAAATGTATTGTATGTAGATAAACACCAAAAGGTGGTATTTGGATCGAGTTAAAGGAGAACTCTTATTTTATAAGCCCCTCGCTTGTGAGAGGTTCTAAATTCTAAACTCAAATTTGGGTGTAATTTAAGCTATTGAGTTTATGAAAAACTCTTAAGAGTTCACTTTGGAAACTCAGAAATTTTTAATTCGTTCAACAAAAAATCGTGTTTACACAGAGTTAAAGGTAACCTTTGTTTTAGTCAGCTCCACTAGCGTTCTAGATACAGATATGAAAGATAAACTCGTGTTTAAGGTTTCGAGTTTATAAAAAAATGCTACAAATTGAAAAATATTAATAGCAGCACATTTATTTGATAAACTCCATTCTTATGCAGCGTGCAATTTTGAACACAAATATGAACAACTAACTCGAGTTTAAGTTTTCACCTTTATGAAAAACTATTAAGCAACAATGCTTTTATTCATAAGTGGGTTGTAAATGCATAAACACCAAAAATTGCTATTTGGAACGAGTTAAACAATAATCCTCGCATTATAAACTCTATGCTTCTGGGAGATTTTGAATTCAAAAACACAATATGGATGAAATTTAAGTTTTAGAGTTTATGAAAAATTGTTGTTGCTCCCAAAGGGAACTCAAGAGTTTCATACGTGCAGAAAAGAAATTCTAAATCAGTGTTGATAAACACCAAAAAGTGGTGTTTAAGTCGAGTTAAAGGAAAGCTTTATTTCAAGAAACATTATGATTGTATTAGAGTGTTCAATGTTAAGCACAGATATGGACAATAAACTCGTGTATAAGATTATTTGTTTATAAAAAAATGTCAAAAAAGTCAGCAAGGGAATCAGGAGATTTCAATTGTACGAATCGCCACAAGATTGTATGTTAACTTTGGCTTAAATCGAGTTAATTGAGATTTGTTTTAAAAACTCCATGTTCATGAATAATGTTCACAATAAATAGCTCGATATACAATAAACTTTAGTGATCGGTAATGAGTTTGTGAAGGGAAGAATAGTTTTTTAGAAGTATATGAAAAGTCAGGGGTCTCAAATTTTTAATTTTTTACCCAATAATCGAAGAGTAAGTTTAAAAAAAAGATTGAAAATTCCATACCAGGCTACAATACAAGTATATACTGTTAAAGCTTCTACAAGTATTTGCGGTATTTAAAAAGCCTGATACTAGGAATTTTTATCTTCAAAACTGGGCTACATGACCACCGAAAGAATGTGTGTGTTCAAATCAAACTGAATGAGTGATACAACAAAAGCATACATTAAATTACGATTATTTTTCGTCCACCCTCGTAATATACAAGTTTACATACATATATCTCTGTGTATTTGAGCACGTGCTTATGCAAAATGGCTTAAATAATCTCGTATGCATTTTGACATACAAACAGTTCGCTTTTGTTGCATTTGTTGGCCTTGCTAATCCGCATGAGAATACTTACACAACATTCTCGGAATTGTTTTGCATCAATGGGTGAAGTGAAATTGAGACCCCATGTATCATTGGTCATTGGATCCTTCCAGTAAACAAAGCATTCTGATGCTTGACCAATGCGTGTGCCTGAAAGAAAGTGAGAGGAATATTTATGGTATTTGGTAAATATAAAATGTAAATATTTGTAAGTTTATAACGTTTACAAGAAGTCAAGAATAAAATAATAAAAGGAGAAAAAAACAACGTTAACTTCGATGCAACAAAATACCCTTCACAAATACAAAGGACTCTATAAAACAACTTAATTTTGATCGATCAGCTTGTATGGCCGCTATACGAGACAGACGGATTTGGCTAAATCGACTCAGCACGTCATGCTGATCATTTATATATGTATATATTTAAGAGAGTCTTGGACGTTGCCTTGTGGATGTTACAAACTTCGTCGCAAACTTACTATACCCGGTACAGGTTAAAATTACATTTAAGATTTAATAATAAAAATCAAGCGAGCTTTGCCGGAAGTTTGTATGAAATTGCAAGGAAAAGTCTAAACCGGCATATCCATAATAAATCCATCATAGAGTTAGGTTTTTCTGCAAATAATATACCGAAAACCTTCGAGTGATTAAATAATATGAAAGTTTTGGCATATTTCAATATTATAAAGGGCGCTGAGACTTGACATTTTGGCTCCCTTCGTGTGAACTACATTTGATACCGCACTCTTATTTGAAGCCATTTCCCATCGATGAATCTTTCTAGCAATAATTTCTAGTCTTGTAAAGCAATAGAACCAACTCGAGCTCTTGTAATTACCTCCATAATAAGAGAATATGATATGCGAACACCAAGTGAAAAAGTACAGTAAATCATGGAGAGTACCGCCTTTTTTAGATATATAGAATAATATGCGAAATATATGAAGAAGTACGAAGAGCTTAGCATTCCGCAGGTCTATAGTGCATGGGGAACTCTGCTAGATGGTTCGTTCTACTCTGCCTTAACTGCCGTAACTGTATGGATTTCAAGAAATGGAACAATTGAGGGAATCTATCTCGACTTTGGAACCGAGAACATTAATTTGGCAAATCAAGGTATTGGAAAGCATGAACTCTCTCCTACATGATACTAAATAAACCAAAAGAGTGCTATTCCTTTTGAATGTTTTTGAAGCAGGTAAAGGCTATGCATTACCAGGACCGTAAGTTTTCACATGTCTTATTGTGGACTAAGATAAATACAGATTAGATTTCATTAGGTTAAAGTGATCAATTCAAAAACCGATTCCACTTAAACAGCTGAGAATACCGGCCCATTGTGATACCGAAATACACTTAAATATTGATCGAAACTCGATCAAGACTGTGAAAAATGAAAAGAGCGCTTTGAGCCTGCCACAAATTTGTTAATTATTGAGACTGCTAATATTCATTCTGACTTTTTCGTCAGGTTCGCCGAAGATACCTCACCTTCCTTCATCTATGTAACTATGACAGTTAGCATCCGAACAATTGTTAAGCCTTACATCATGACATTTATTAGACAATGACCAGTAAGAACTCCTAAGACTTCGGATTGTTGACCAGCACCTGCTAAGTTCAAACGAAGTCCAGATGTCCAGCGCTAGAACGCAAGTAGACAACGTTCCCAAACTGTTGTAATTGGTACAAGGTTGCACGCTCTTGCGAGCTCATTGGCTTGCAGTTTGCAGCGATTCTGCTACGACCAGGTACTCATGCGCGAGTCTGATTATAAAGTTTCTTGATGCTATCGATTGTGAGCACAGATACTTATTGACTAATTTTGAACGCACAGTGAGCTAGTAGTGTCGATCTGCAGTTAGAGTGAATGCTCAGCTCTTTGAAAGTGGCTGAACAATAAATCTACTGCTATCTTAATGGCAGCCGCCTCTACTCGAAAAATTCTAGAGTAATTCCTTAGCCTAAAACTATGCTTGAGGGATTCTTACAGAAAACTCACTCTGCAATGTTTCCTCTATGTTTCGACCTATGCCAAAGGTAAGTGCAGAGATAGTTCAAAAATACCAAACCTACTCTACTAAATGGCGATTTTACATTATTAAATTTATTAACAATAAAAATAATTTTAAATGTTTTTTACAATTCTAAAATGTAATTTAACTCACCTGGCTGCACAAGTCGTACGTCCAATATTTTGTCCACCTGACTATTGTATGCCGTTATATGAAATACGCATTCTGGTGAATCCTGGATGCAGGTTATATTAACAGGAACCAAATCTTCAGATACTTGTTGCCATTTAACGGTACCGGCACCGCTTGCCGAAACATGAAATACCTCAGCCCACAACCTGAATGAACTGGCGCAGGTTAACCACATTTATTGAATATTATTGCAAGCGATATTATATATAAGCATTGAATAAGATTTATATATATATATATATATATATATGTATATATATATTTTCCATTTACATATGCATATTCAAACAGTTGTTGTTGTTGTGTAAGTAGGAAGTACATATTTGGAATAATGTTTGTTGTTGCAATTTTCACACAAATATACAAAAAATGCGAAAACCAAGTACGAAAAGTACGAAAGGAAGACAGGACGTTGTTGTTGTTTATTGTAATAGTTGTTGTAGGTTTGTTGGATTTGTAATTGTTGCAAAGTTTTTTTTGTTGGTTGTTGATTTTTTGACAATTATTCCATATTTTGATATTTGTATGTAAATATTTTGTTGAAAAAATTTTTAACACGAATTTTATAGTGAAAAATTATTTTGTGTAAATAAAGATTTTAAGCAAAAATATTTATATTCATATTATAATGGTACAATAAAAATATATATTTTTTTAAATTCATATTAAAAGGTTTTCAAATTTAAAAGTAGTATAATTTTTTTTTTTTTATAAATAATATTTGTTTTTAAATATAATTTTTTTCAATTAACACATTTTGTTGTTATTTTTAGTTGCAATTTGTTTGTTTGTTTGTTGTTGTTTTTGTAGTCGATTGTTGGTGTCGATTAGTTGGTTGTGGAGAGCGGTGGACGTTGGTAGAGAATAGAGGAGACCACAGGAAAAATAAACCGGCGTAAAGGAAAGAGATAAAAGAAAGAAGGAAAATATACAAAGAAATTAATTTTGGCTTGACAATTGTTGTACTTTTTTATTATACTTGTAAAAAGTAAAAAATTATATAACAAAATTTTAAAACTTCTTTTCAATTATGTTTGTTGTTTATATTGAATAAATCAAATTATTTATTTACCTTAATAAATGTCCGTCACGCCGACGTGATGTCTGCCATGGTGAGTCCTCATAACGGTACGCCTTGCGCATCAATGGCGCACAGGAGCAGCTCAACTTGTTACCCATGGCGCAGCTGGCACAACCACCCTGACCTCCAGCAGCTGCAAAAAGAAATGCCGTTAGTTTTTGTTCACTATTTTTACACATATTTCACAGAAACAAACAAAAGACACAAAACTTAAAGCCAATAAAAAAATCAAAATTTTAGTGTCACCCTGTATCCTAAATATTTCCGGTTTTTTATTGTTAATTAATATTTTCATAAATTCAGTTTTTTTCATTGCGAAATACTTACCTTTACCTGAGGCACCCCGATGTCACCACATTCCGCTTACATCTGCCTGTGAAAGCGCTTGACCGCGATTTAAGGACTGCGAACGTTGGTTGTGACGATGAGCGTGATAACGACTACCGCGCTGAAAAGAAGAAATATGCAAATTTAATAAAATATATTTTATTTTAAATAGTTCTACAAAGATACAATGAGAAAAACATTCTGAATTGAATTCAAAATCCTCGCGAGCGTTAGCAGAGTATCTCGACAACTCTTATGGTTCGAATTCACACATTTTGGTTAAAGTTTTGGGTATGAAGCGTATAAGTGCTAGACTCGTACCAAATGTCTGAATCTTTAGCAAACACGACATCGAGTAGAGGTGGTAAAAGAGATGCTTGACCAGGTAGCTGAGAACATTACATTTCTCTAACACATTAGTAGTGATACGAGACGTGGGCTTATAAAGAGGACGTCGAAACTGTTCAATAATCTAGCGAGTGTCCCTCCAAAAATGAGCCGAAACCGAAAAAAAAAACAAAATTCGATGAAGACACTGAAGGCTTTCCGAGTCGAGGCTTTTAACAAGTGTATAGAAAATTGGATTATGCATTAGTATGTTTATAGTATATTGGATCAGCCTTAAACAGATCACTCTTCATGATGACAATGCGAGCTCTTACACATCGACTGAAACAACTGCATTTTTGAGCACGATTTGACTTAGCACCGAATGACTTTTTCATTGATCAATATTTGTTTTTGTTCTCTAATCCCGAAATATAAAGGCAACTCTCATATTGAAAAGTTGGATATACCGTGTATCTTTCTCGTTGGCAGCTGTATAAAATGAAATGAATTTATCTAATAAAAAAATTAAGTTTTCTTAAAATGCAACGATCTCTCCACTCTGCCTCGTACGTATGTAAGTAAAGTATATTTCCGCCAATAGTTCAAACACTATACAATAACTAATAAACTCCATTAATAATATAAGTACTACTTCTAATTTTACTTAAAGAACTTGAAAATTTTAAATATAGCAGTAGTTCCAACATTAGCGCAATGATTTTTCATCCTTTAACTGTTTTCTTTCTTCCTAACCATTATGTGCCTGCAGTTAGTGTAGTTTTTCCCTGAAAGTTCTTCTTTGTATTCCCGCTTGCTGTACAAGCATAAGAAGCCTGTGTAAATAGGTTTGTCATTTGTTAGCTTAAGTGCCTGTCGTCGACGTCGTTTTGTTGTTGTCGTTGTAATTTTTCATTGTTACCAGAAATGTTAGAAATGCTGCAGCATTCATTGTTATATAAATTAACTATTTCCTTGCGCGCTTTCAACTCGTTTTTTGTCATTATTTTTTTTAATGCATCTCCTTCAATTCCGTTATATTTATATACACTAGTAGTTACTAATACTCGCATATTGTCCACTATTAATTTTCTTGAAGTTCTTTATAAAGGCGTAGAATGTTTTCATCAACTTTTTTATATACTTAAGAAGAGAAAGGAGCTTGAAGAATGGAGCTCAAAATGTCAAAGTAATTAATGTAAAGTAAAACAAAGTTCATTTGAAAAGATGATGCCTGAAACTCTAAAAATTTGCTAATGCTCCTTTTATCTGCGCCAGTTAGTGACCAGAAAACCTTATGTCTACAGACTAAGAGCTTAATTTTATTACCTTCTACAAGCAATACTGACAATTCATATGTACACAGACTATAATTAGAACTGAAGTGAATCCTAAAACTATTATTGTATATAATATTATATAATATATAAACCAAAATAGTTTGGACTTCATTAGAAGTTTGCTGGTTTAATAAAAGTTCCATAAAGCCAACTTAGAACCTCAAGTGACTATATGATAATTTTCCTCAATCACACCAACGCAGAAAACTTCTCTGTCTTACCTTGCTACCGCAAAGGATCAAAACTAGGCACTACTTTGGGATCAGTAGGCAATTAAGAAGCAGATCCCACTTTCGACAAACAAAAATTACGCTCTATACGCTTCTCAACGTTTCCGTCCTATTATACGGCGCAGAAAAATTTACGAAGATTAACCGAGATGAGAAAGCACTTAGAGTGCTTAGAGTATTACAAAAAGCTCCTTCGATTCGAGACCCATGGGTAGACAACGGAAGCCAGGGCACCCTGCATAGTAACCTGTCTGCACTCGGGCACAACTCTCGTAGCCTCACAATGCTAGAAGCAACTGGCAAAGTATTGTGTTCCAGGCCCAGATCCACCCACGGTTGTAGTGCCAAGGAAGAAGTGGACAGTTTTTTTTCGTATTTGTTTGTAATTTAGTATTTGATTCGGTCGAATATTGCCTTTTCAGCAGCCATTTCTGAGAGACAATCGATGGATTGTCCACATTTGTTTTTTTCAGAAATCATACATCATACATCTCAAATTTATGGCAAATAAGTACTAAAACAGTCTTTTGTTCATGACTCATCAAGCTCATGATCTTCGAATGTCATGAATCACCCAAAAAGGTAATAACAACAGTTACTAATGAATTTAAGAATAAAGCATGTATAAATATGTATAGCTTTAGAAATAGAAACATCATATTGTGCCTGACAACACTGGAAGTTTCAGAAGGTCCCAAAAAGCTCATTTCAGAGAGAGTGAATTATAAGAGCTCGAAAAGTAATCTTAAATTAATTCTTCTAATTAAAAAAAAAGTATCGCTAACCAATATTCGGCACGCCTCTCAAACAAATACTTTTTTTTATTATTAGAAAATCTTTTGGATATAAAATTAAATCTACCATAAATAAAATCCCGTTCAAATTTCCACATTCAATTAGCCAGCACCACAACTGTTATTGTCTTAATGCCAAAATTCAGCACTCAAAGTAATCTCGCACAAAAGAAATTAGTTATCAGGCCAAAGACAATAACAAACTTTGCAAAGTTTAAAAAAAGCACAGACACAGTCATGTGTGGTGCAAGCTTTCAATTCCAAATGCTTGGTTGAGCGTTAGATGTGTGTACAGCCCCACACTTACCAACAATACTATAAATTATTTTCTTTGTTTAATCTCTTGAACTTATGGTGGCAATTTATAACATTAGAAGGAAAGTTCCGAACGCGGCAACCACATTATTCTTACTTTGTCAGCTGTAACAAAGACGCCAACGGATAGAATAACATAATCAATGTGGCATGCAGAGGGCATGAGAGAGAGCGGGAGAGTGAGAGAGCGCAAGGCAGAGAAAGGGCGCAGGGTGAGCGCATGCATTCAAGAAGATTATCGATTCTATTTTCAATGTTTTTGCAGCGTTTTAAAAAGTTTATCCTAAGTGCAGTCAACGCTTCAACAGCGCTAGTTGTGAAAACAATACTAACTACAGCAACAACAACAACAAACAATTAAACCGCAACTAAAGTGTCAACTTCAATCAAGTAGTTTGGAAAGCTTAGCAGATGCGCACAAAAACAACATTACCGAGTATTAAGCGGGACTCAAAAGCAGCAGTGTAGGTGGCGGGTGCGGCGAAGACGCACGGAGAAATCATCAAGACATTTATATAATAAAGTGGGTTTTTTTTTTATCGCCATGCAGGGAAGCTGTTAGATGAGGCATTAGAAGACTGTCTATATGTGCTGGTGTTAGTTTTTGCTAATATGTCCAGCAGATAAGCAAAATGGACCATGTCTTAATTGCTTTTCAGACAGTGAATTTAAATAAATTTAAGACGATTATTATTATTGAGATTGTTAGCGGAAGTTTGTTGAAAAAAACCTTAAATGTTTCTAGTTTTATTTGTGTTTTGAGGACCACTCCAGCCGAGGCTTATAACAAGTCTATAGAAAATTGAGCGTTAGCATGCTTGTATGGGCTCAGTAGGGCCACAAAATTTAGTATTTTTTTGTCAGTTCGCTTCAAAATCCAAATACATTTTAGTTCGATGTTATAATCTAAATTTTTTCAACTAAATTGAGTCTGTTTGAACACCGAAGAAATTACGTCAAAATCCATTTGATCAGCTCTTGACCTGTCAGAACGTGGCATAAGGTATTTTGAAGGAGAATAAAAGCAAGCATTCTTAATCAAGAGAATATTTGCTGTTAGATTTATTATTTAAATATATTTACACCTTTTTTAAAAGTGGAGAAAATTACACTGCAAATTATACTCGCTAACCCATTGGAAGAAGAAAAGTATATAAAAAACTAAAGGTTAAATAATAATGTTAAGGTTTTTCAGAGTAAAAACCGGTTTATGTCGATTTCTAGAAAAATTACAAATGCTATGGAAAAAAGTTGAATAGAAAAGTTGTGGGTAATAAAAATATCTACAGCTTTTGTGTTAACATTTTTCTCATATGATCTTAAAATTTATCTGAAAAATTAAAAGATTTTTTTCTTTTGCGATATTTGGGGTAAACTAACGTTTCTAAGCCCCAAATACACTATAATTTTTTCACCTAATTTTGACTACACCTTATAAAAATACCATAATTTTCATATTTTCACATTTTCACGTAGAAATAGCAATAAATGAATGAGTTAAAAGATTCTTGGTGCAAATGAGTTTATAAAAATGTGTTCCCAATAATTGACCGTTTGGGAGTATTGAGGCTTTCATGGTAAATATAATATTACTATTAAATTTATATTTTGGAATGAGTACGATATTATTTACTCTGTATATAGCCTAAAGTCTACACATATTATGATGGTTTCCACAAACCAAAAAAAAAAAATTAAACATCTTGAATTTAATTTACTTTCAATCGAAGATTTGATTATGTTGGCAATAAAAGCAGGTCTACAGCGTATAATAAGCTGAATTCTACGAGCACTTCTGTAAGATTTATTGCAAATTACAACAAGATTATAATACACTAGGCACTAATTTACAGTTATAGAAAATTAGAAAACGCAATTGCGCAGGTAAAAGTAGTGTCGAACATATATTATTATATGATTTTCAGAGCTATTTTGATTAAAATGAAAAATATACTTAAAATTTGGCAAGTCATTCGAGAAGCACGTGCAACAAAATCAACGGTGAATTGACTCGCAGGCACTCAAATATAACAACAGGCGAATAAGGAAAATCGATATTGGTCCCTACAGAAATATATATAGATATGTAGCTATCTATGTATGTGTATACATTTG